CCCCTTCCCCGCGGCAGGGCGCGGCAGAGCGGCGGGAAGGTGCGGCACAAGCGGCAGGCGCTGCAGGACATGGCGCGGCCGCTCAAGCAGTGGCTCTACAAGCACCGCGACAACCCCTACCCCACCAAGACCGAGAAGATCCTGCTGGCCCTCGGCTCCCAGATGACCCTGGTGCAGGTAAGGGACGCCCCTACCCCCGCCTCGGGCGGCTGCTCTGGGGCGTTTCATGGACGGGAGGGACAGGGACAGCATCAGCCAAAGCCCCGCTGTCAGCTGAGCAAGGGGCATCAGGGGAGGTATCAGTGCCGCCAGCAAGGCCGGGGGTCCTGTGCTCCTCCTTCCCTCCACCCTCCCCGGGGCTCCCCCTCCAGCAGGACTGTATCCCCCAAACGGGAATTCCCACGTCTGGGCTGTCCTGGCCGGGGAAGTGGTAAAGGCAATCGGCAAAAGGTGTATGCTTTCCCTCCTAGGAAAAGGTGCTCCCATCCTGTAATCTCATTCCTAAATACAGTGGAAATATTTTTGCTTAGTCTTTAAAAATCTTCAGGTAAAGAAAATGAGTACTGGCAGATTGCAGCACAGAACAGGAATTGTTGAGGAACTTGTAGGGAGCTACTCTTTTCCCTTCTGAAAATGGGCTAGAGTGGAAACAGTTGTATCGTTCTGATAATAGCCATCACCTGTTGCACAGCCGGTAGTTACCTTACGCGCTGTGTGCAGCGGCTCGGCGTGCAGGGACCTTGCTTCACAGTCTTGCAGGAATTATCATCATAATGTAGTTAGACCTGGGGAGGAATTGTTTTGCCCTCAGGTAAAAATCCTCTGAAATGACGGCAGTTGCGTTGCAGTAAGAGGTAGAAAGTCGGCTGCAAATGTTTATAAATCTTACTTCTTTGTTCTCTTTGCCATCTGGCACTCTATTGAAATATGTGGTTAAATGCTATCGGTTGCTCAGTGATGCTATCTCAGGTCTGGATGCTGCAAAGATTTATGCATTGTGAATAATCTAATTTCCTTACTGGGAGCTACTGCTAGGTGCATAAAATGAAACAGATGTGTTTGCAGGATCGGGTCCTTAGCACTCTGCCCGAGATATTATGTGTCACTTTGCAAAGAACATGAAGATATCAAAATAACATGAAGTATTAGAAAAAGAAGGTGGTAATTCAGCATTATTATTTCGAGTAGTCCTTTGAAAAAGCCAGTGCAGTGAACTTCAATCCTAGTAACAGCAAAATGTGAAACTTTTACACTTCAGTACCTCACTGTGAAACTATTGCACTAGAAAAAACACTATAGCTTTGACAAAAATAATATTAACGTCTCAGAAAATGCCAGTTATAACTGGAAGATATAGTTAAAACAACTTCTCTTGCTTTTAAAAAATATACATGAAAGGTTTGCTCAGACTTTTAAAAATACGATTACATAAACACTATCCAGTCAATGCCGCAATTCAATAGGAGTAGTTTATTGGACTATGGCTTTTAGAATATTCCTGTATTTTTACATGAGTTTTAAAACATACATCCAGAATACATGTTGGGAGACTTTCTCATCAATGACATCTTGAGGAGTTCCTCTCCTGTTCTTTTATAAATGCCTCGGAACGAACAGACAAGGGAAAAAAACTGGTGGGTTTTTGCAGTATTTCTCTTGTGGCAGCTTTGATAAATCCTGACGGGGATATGCTGTGTTAGCCTCTGTAAAAACATTAAGTGAGCCGTGACCACGACCCCATAGAGTTTTATGATCTATGTAAGGTGTAGAATAAAATTAAAAAGAATCATGGAGGGCTACGTTTATCTCTGTTAGACCCCCGTGACTCTAGTGGATTTACGCTGAAACTGCATTTGACCAGCCTTATTTCTATGAACTGTAATATTTGAAAGAGCTGTGCAAACCAGCACATCTATCTTCATTTACAGAAGCACACCATCAAAAAGAAACCCCAGATGTTTCTTCCATCATTGGGGTGCGATGCTCTTTTAATCCAGGAATACGATAGCATCTGTACGAGAGGTAAAGACATATGTCTGGCACCAGCGGTAATTCCTGAGCCTGGAAGAACAAAACAACACACGCCCCACATCTACTTTTCAGATGCCCAGAAAGAACAAGACTGTAATCCAGATCAAAATTCTTGTTCTCTGAGAGTGAGAGAGAAAGCGCCAGGCTGTGATCTCAGCCACGCTGGGTACATCTGAAATAGCTTCCCCGAAGGCTGTGCTCTTTCAGCTGAGTGGCGTAACCAAGAGCGGGCTCGGGACTGGGCTTCCGTACCTGTTGGAAAGCTTCGCTTCTCTCCCAGGAGGGGCACTTTGCAAAAGGATCAGCCAGGGTCTCTTGCGATTCCTTTTCTAACCTAGTAACGCCAGACATCGTTGGAGAACCAGGAATCAGTGTGTGATGTTTTCTCCGGGTGACACACCTTCACGTTCGCTGGCCAGTCTCATATTTCCTACTCTTCTTCCATTTCTTGGTGCTGTCCCGCGGTGTTTGCTCTTGGCGGGACCGTATGCTTGCCCCCACAGCTTTCCCGTCCTGGGGAGGCTGTTGTCTGCTGACAGATATTACCACATCCCAGCATCCCTCGTGTGCTGACACCTTGTCATTGGAAGCCCTAGGGAAGACAAAAGATACTGTTGAAAATCCCTTTGAGTTTCTGCCAAAATGCTGTTTAGGGAATGAATGATAGGGGTTTTTTGTTTTTCACCTGACTGCCGACCTTGGAAAAGCTCTTCAGCAGCTGCCTGGAAGATGATGTTGGTCACAGTAATATTGATAATATGGCTGTAACTCTTCTCCACGTGATTTTCTTTCATCTAATGAGCCTTATTCCAGTATGTACCATCGATCCAAAGGAGCTTGTGCAGGCTGTGGCATAGATATAACCGATCCTTCAGTGAGACAAGGAGGTGAACATCCAGCCCTGTTTTCTACTGTTATTATTAGGACAGTATCTGCATGTCAAATCTTCCACTATTTTATTTTCATGTTTTGCTATCACCCAGTTGGCTGATTTTAAATTAGTTTATTCTACCTCACTAATACTTTGGCTTAATGCCCTGTTCCTGGGTACAGTGAGACAGCAAGGGGGCTGTTCCAGCTGCGGGTCCAACAGTGCTGCAGAAGGAAAGTCAGACTCTTTCAAGGAGGTAGGATTTCGCAGGAATCATAAATCATCTTGTTTCTTAATAAGTAGTAGCAAAACCTGGGGCAAATTCTGGGCTGACTTATTCCTGAGCAGGCCAACAAGGTCTTCGAGAGTCCTCAAGGCAAATGTTATTGCAGCTTTCAGTCCAACAGTCCAAAGTTTTTTACTTCGCCAATTGCCAAAGCAGAAAGCCAAAAAAGCAATATAGTTTGAAAAGGCATTTTATGTTTTACTCCAATTAGATTCCAATTCAGAATCCAATAATTTGTCCTATTAATATGCTATTAATATGCTACATTTTCATTTGTATTATTACCACAGTGCTTGATTTATTTGATTTTAAATTTTTGTTTAGATGTTCTTATGAAACAAAAAAGAAAAATGGCTGTATATTCCTTCCAGAAAGAAATATGAATGGCCGTATTGTTGAAGAGAAGTTCTTTGCAATACTAGGATTAAATATATTGGTCATGTGCTGCTATGGATTTAATAGTATTCAGATTCAGAAAGGCATATCTGGATTACTGGAGAAGGAGAATCGCTTGATTTCTGTTCCCTTTCTGAAACTTTGGCCGCTCTTAAGCAGTGAAGCAGAACAAATTACAATAAAATTGAAGTCCCTTCAGAAGCAAAGCCAGAGGGTCAGTATTTCATGATGCTGATAGAAGTACCTGATGCTCTCTGAGAATGACTAAGCTGCTGTAAAATATGAATGCTGGAAAGCACATCTATTATCGTTCTCCTCGGGTTTTGTCTTTTTACTTCTTGCAGAACTGCATGACTGTTACTTTTCAAGAATAGTGAATTTCATCATGTGTTTTTTCAAGATACTTAGTTCTTTGGGAGGTTTCTGAGACAAAGATTTTCCCACTGGCTTGTATGTAAATCATTGTTTTGGGTTTTTTATTGTTTTTGGAGGTCACAGTAGTGTAACTTGGGGCTATCGTAAAGGATGGATGGCTTTTGGCAGCTTAGATTGTTTCTTTTTGCAATAGCTTAAGTAAGTGTGGTTCAAACAGGCACTTGCAGTGAGGGGGACCTACAGCAGTAGGCATGCAACTTTATAATAAAGACCGCTTGGATACACAAGGTAACATTTGAGGGTGGTTGAAATTAGTGACAACACGGTCCTTGGCTTTAAAGGAGGCAGGAACAGCCTGCAATAACCCAGCCCGTGGCTGGAGTTCAGGCTGGGCGTGCTGTCTGGTAGGGCCTGTGGCCATGCAGCCTCTGCCAGTCCACACACCTGGGGGTTGTCCGGGACTGAAGAGTGGGAGAGGTGCTGAATCTCTTTATGTCTTAGAGATCAAGATTTTCCAGCAACATATACCAGTGCCTGAGCGCAGGAAAGTACCCCGAGATACCACACTGTCGATCTAACCTAAAAATCTCTTAAGTGAATTTGCCTTCAGCTTTAACGGGCCTTGTTGTAATTGCATTTGGGAGAAGAGTTTCTGGGGTGAGAGCTTGCTGTTTTGTTCTTTAGCAGAAAGCTCCTCTTGTAAATGCTGACTTAAGGTTCTTTCATAATGATCAAATACTACTATTTCCTCCCTTCATAGCAGAAGACTTAAAATATGACTCATCTTTTCATATTGATATGCAGAAAGCGAAGCTTTGGCATGGAAAGAATGAGCCCAAAATAAACCAAGAGTACCATGCAAAAATCATTC